ATATATATATATATATATATATATATATATTGATGGTTGATTATTACACATTATAGCAACTTATGAATATGGTTTTATGTTATTAAGATTGTTTTTGAAAATATCCTGAATAATATCATATCTGTAGGCTATGAGTGTAATACATATTCGTGGCAAATACTTGAAAATATTTTAGACACTGTAAAATCTCAAGAATTGTTTCACATGAATTAGTTATTTGACAAGCAGATAGATATGACTAATTCTCTCATCCAAAACGAGTAAATGAGATAACACTCAGTTGATAATCTGCCCTGTTTCTTTACTTTAAAAAGACAAGCGAGATGGATAATTTCAATTCATAGTAACTGTTTACAGTACGGAAACTTACACAAGGTTTTACTCTAAACAGTATGTAATGAAGAAGTTAACTAGAAGATTCAAAAGAGAAGTCCTCTAGAAGATAAAGGGAAAGGAAGTTTATTTGCTAAAACTCTTGTCAAAAATGTGCTAAAGATACGTTTGTTGATTTAACAATACAAGAGTGAAGAACTGTTGATTTAACAATAGAAGAGCAGTGAGCTGTTGATTTAACAATAGAAGAGCAGTGAGCTGTTGATTTAACAATAGAAGAGCAGTGAACTGTTGATTTAACAATAGAAGACGGACCCTTATTGATTTAACAATAGAAGAGCAGTGAACTGTTGATTCAGCAATAGAAGACGGACCCTTGTTGATTCAACAATAGAAGACGGACCCTTCTTGATTCAACAATGGAAGAGCAGTGAACTGTTGATTTAACAATAGAAGAGCAGTGAACTGTTGAGTTAACAATAGAAGAGCAGTGAACTGTTGAGTTAATAATAGAAGAGCAGTGAACTGTTGAGTTAACAATAGAAGAGCAGTGAACTGTTGACTTAACAATAGAAGAGCAGTGAACTGTTGAGTTAATAATAGAAGAGCAGTGAACTGTTGAGTTAACAATAGAAGACGGACCCTTATTGATTTAACAATAGAAGAGTGGAGAACTGTTGATTTAATAAAGAAAAACCAAAACACTACTGATCAAATGATGGAAGAATAGGATACTGATTCGACTTTCGATTAAGGTCTATTTTCTGTCGTCATTTACTTTTTTTTAGGAAGGTTTAAAATCTGAATTGTTTTCAATTTCATTTAAATTAGCTTTTATTTATTGCGTCAATATGTATGAATCTGTACATAGGAATTTTTAGGTAATTCACTTGGTTGGATTTGAACAGTAATTTTTCTTACATGATATTTCTCAGTATATTTATTTTACTGAAAATTATAAACCTGGTGATTCCTCCATTTTAACTAAACTTTTCAATATGTATTGCAATTAAATCTAAAAGGGCAATTACCATAAAGTAATTACCTAGGAGGCAAAGAGTAAGAAGTAAAGGCCCTTAAACAGTGAATGTAAGACACAAATATATTGTTGTTCAATATGATAGCATTATATTTCTTTAAATTCTAAGTTTAGTGAGAACTGATGTTGTGGTTAACGTCTGACGCTGACCAATGATTTTTCAAGTAATGCCTGATTTGGACCAATGGCTTTCAAGCAATGCTTGACTTGGACCAATGAATTTTAGATAACGCCTGATTTTAACCAATAACTTTCAAGAAACATACGATTTTACTTCAGTTGAGCATTTACGGGCTCTAATAGCTTCAGTTATTGATAAACTTCGGTCTCTGAAACGAACTATTTATTACTTCTCTTATTTCGAGAAGTGATGCTATTAGCCAATATCATAACAGTATGATTAGCAGTCAAACAAGCTTGTTAATAAATAAATCGAATTTAGAAACACTGTGTGATTATTATGTACGTACGAATAATGTTAACTAACACTAGTGTCGTGACAAATCGATAACGTTGGAAAAAGTACTTTACATCTACGTAATTCAGAAAAATTATTTCATAAAAGTTTTTATGAAAAAATGAATTGTGTTTTGAATAGCTAGTTTTACGTTAAACTATTTGTGTATTATGTAAATATCATACTTTAAACATGCATATATATATATATATATATATACTGAATTATTAATTTCTAATTGGTTGATCTGACATATAGTTTATTATGGATCTTATGAAGATTGACTTCATTTTCAGAAATTTTATTCTTGGATAATTAGTGTTTTATTTTTCAAATGAGCTGTCTGAATAGTGTAATTTGAGTTGAAAAAAGTGAAATCAATGCAAGAATAATTCTAACAGTTTAACATCTTCTGCAGTTTGGTTTAACATGCATTTCGCTCAACACGTTTATCTTCCTATACATATCAGCATATATACACACATATTGAGCAATATAACAGAGAAAGACGATGATGAAGCTGTGCAATTAGCATTGCCACTTTCACAACAATTCCGATAGATGGCAGCACTTTGCAGTTGTAGTTCAGAATTCCACGATATATATATATATATAGTAAATAATGAGTACTACTTTGTTATTGTAGGACATGTTAGGCATTCTGTGGCATTAAATTGTTTTAATGCTATACTACTTGATTTTTATAAATCTATTTAAAATATGTGCACTTATTAAAAATGACTATAATCAATTCTTATTTTCAGTTTGATCAGAAAGAGTACCTTACACGACAGGGTCAGAGTAAATGATTCTAAGACTTCTGTTTTTGTTCTTAGTTTGCGTTTAAGACGCGTAGAATAGCAAAATATGACGATTAGAATTAGCATATTTGTTTCTAATAAGGCGGGAAAACATTCTGTCATACGGAGAAAAAATGTTTCCTCAGCTTAGTCTAAGTAAGAACTGAAGTGTTCACTTAAAACTCTAAGATTTATTTTTTAAAAACTCTAAGATGTATTTTTTAAAAACTCTAATATTTATTTTTTAAAAACTCTAATATTTATTTTTTTAAAACCCTAAGATGTATTCTTTAAACCAAATTATGCTCATAAAAGTATTTAAAAACAATACATCAATACAGTCAAATATAACATTGTAATTTTGTCGTTAAATTTAAAAGTGGCTTGAAAAATCTCATAAGGAAAATACATAATTTGACGTTATTTGTTATCTTACATATTATCTGCTAGGTGGCTTTGTAATGTATTTCTTTACACAGCTTCATAAAATAGAATTAACAAACTGCGTACAAAGCTACTTGGGTTATGGCTTTGTGCTAACACTATGAACTTAGCTAACATGGCGAGTATGAACAGTTGTTCTTGAGTGTCCTTAGTCAGATACATCATGCTATGACGATATGAACTTAGCTAACATGGCGAGTATGAACAGTTGCTCTTGAGTGACCTTAGTCAGATACGTCATGTTATGACGATATGAACTTAGCTAACATGGCGTGTATAAGGAGTTGTTCTTGAGTGTCCTTAGTCAGATACGTCATGCTATGACGATATGAACTTAGCTAACATGGCGAGTATGAACAGTTGCTCTTGAGTGACCTTAGTCAGATACGTCATGTT